CTGCAGTAACATTCAGTCATAGTTTGACAACATTTTCAAATGACAATCTTATTGTTTTAATTATTGTTGTATAAAGAGCTGGAAATACGCATCAGACTCAGTTCCAACTTAAAAGTTTTGTCTGCAAGAGGCAGCTGTTGCAGGGGGAGGAATACTCAGGATAGAAGTAGAATATGACTGTGGAGATGTCCTTCCACTTTGTCAGATAACAAACAGGAAAAAACAGTCGTCGTTTGCTCTCTCCCAGCCCAAGGCCATTCAGAGACCAGAATTATTGGCCATCCTGTAGGCTTGGAAACTCAGTTCACCTGTCCTCTTATGGAATGGCTGGCTCACAAATTTTGTTATCCACTAGTTTGAATTCCTTATACAATGAGTGCTTTCCAATTGCTAGACTGTAAGAAAAAAAAAAATCCTAGGTAGAAGATAAGGTTTGGAAGAGACCCAGTAGCTCAGAAAAGCAGGGGTGACAGCTAAACAGCCAACTGGGGATGGAAAGACCAAGCACAGCGATTTAAAAAAAAAAAAGAACCAAGACCCATTTTCTGTAGTAGGTAATTAGCAGCAGCCTCAACAAGGAAACAGCGGCATCTTTCTGACGCAAGGCAATACCATAGCAGGGTCCGCTCAAGATTCTCATGGTGTAGTTGTGGTGAGGGGCCTGCTTTGAGCTCAGGAAAGGACCGGGACTCTAACACACGTTAGAGCTCACGCGCTGATCCGCACGTTGGATTTCTGACTGCGTGAGTAAAGCTAACGTGCGCTGTCCTGATGCAACCCGCTACTGGGGACACCTTCAGACTTCCACTCTTGCTTAAGCAACGACTACAGACACATTTCACTACCAGGCACAAGGGAGTTTTCTGATACGTTTCATCATTTATACTGTAAAATACCTGAGAGGAACACATTACAGCACTGTACGTGATCCATACAGACTTCCATCTCCAGTGAGATGCCTCCATCCAAGATACTCCTGGACCAGATCATTTTTCTATCAAAAGCAGAGAGATTATGTCTAATTATTTCCTGCTGTCCTCTCCGTGTCTTTTTTATTCCGTTAAACAAACAGACAGTGTTTGGTATATGAGTAAGAAATGTAGCGTAACAGAAAATATGCTAGAAAGGAAATGATTGCTAATCACTGCTTTTTGCCCAAGACAGCTAAAATGACCTATTTCTTCAGCTCATCAGCTGAGCAAACTACTGACTTGAAGATGTGAGAAACCATCCTTGTTCTTTGCTTCCAAAGACAATTTTGTTTCTGTAATGCATTCGAGGAGCAAATATGACCTGGGCTGAAGGAGAGGCACACAAGAACTACATTCATCCCAAAACAGAAGACATGAATGGGAAGCAGACAGACAAGCCTAAACCAGAGCCTAACATTTTATTAAATAAGTTTAATGATTTCAATATACGGGGCTCAGGAGAGCATCAATTAGGTTAACATTTTCCCAGGACATTCCAGGCCATGTTATGAAGTAAAATGTAAACTACTCTTAAAATAAAACTGTACTATTGCTTTGGGCAGCAGGAAGATAAAAAGTTAATCAGAGCTCTCAAGCGACCGATCAGATGGAAATTAATTACAGATGTAAGGGGCGTGATTCATTACCTACTGGAGTTCAAAAGTATCAGCTACCTTATGAACACATAACAAACCCCCAAAAGGATATTCTTCTCTTGTACTCCATTAAACTACTCGGGTGTCTCAGTATTTCCAGGACTGAACATAATTTTGTGACAAAGTAATTAATCGTTATGTATGCTTTGTAGTTCACACTGTGAGCCACACACTCAGCGTCCAAATGTTTTGATTCAGGAAGCTTTAATTTTGTGGTGGCTTGTTTTTGCCAGGAATGAGAGGAGGTAGTCCTCAAACATCAGCTCACCTGAAAATTTCAAACGCCAAGTTAAAATCATATATTTACAAGTGGCTTCGGGGCTTCCCTTTTACTTTTCTCTGGCTCAAGAACGGCACTAAAGGTTCCTTTCCCCTAAAAAAAAAAAAATCATCCCTCTAAACTGAAACAAAATAGGGACACTTTACTGAGAAAATATGTAAAAATACAGAGCTGTAAACAATATTCTTCCGGAATTTCAGCTATAAGTTGTTCTCAGACCCATGGCAAGGAGGAATGGCCTCACTCCCAATAAAATCTAGTCCTATCAGGAAGAAATTAGTTACTGGCAATACAGTTACCTAAAACCAAATACAGCCTCAGGAAGACAGAATTTAGTATTGAATTAATGCTTTGAAATATATCCAGCCTTGTCTTCAAAAGCCATGAGACTTGCTTCAAAGAAAGGGACCTACTATGCAGATCTTCTACAACTTACACATAAGCATACGCACAGGCCATGTCTAAACTGGCAGGCAACCCAGCTCAACGCAAGCGAACGAGTAAAACAAGGCAGCTGGCGCAAGGCCCCTGCATCTACGTGAGAGTTTGTACTTCAGCCCAACTTTAGTCTGGTCGGTTGGAGACCGAATGATCCCCATCGCGGATGCGGTTTGAAGCTGTCCGATGGACCGACTGCTGGCCCATCTGGAGATGATTAGATCTTCCTTAGGATGATGAAGATTTGGTGCTGTTAATTCAGACACACTCGGGCGATCACAAACAGCTCCTGCTCCCCTCTTCTCAGTTTGTTGTCCTCTCCCGCCTCGCACTGCTCCGCTCCATCATCCCCGGGACACCACGGCCGTGGCATTTGAAGTGATCTACGGGATGAAGGCAGGTTTGCACTCTCGTAAGCGTTTGAGTTTGCTCCGGCGCACCCAGAAGGAAGGCTGTACCAGCTTAAGGGCTGCTGTTTGAGACAAGCTCCAGCCGTAGGAGGGAAAAAGCCTCCAGCGACAGCTGAGACTGACTTTGCCAAGTCACGCCGGGAACCAGGGGCTCTCCCGCTCCAACCCCACCCCACGGCCTGTCATCCGCCTGCGAAGGATTTTCAGAGCTCACCTCCTGCTGACTCTCCAAAATACGTGGAATGGCTCTTGGTTACAGGAACATATTAGCACAGCAGACTTTGGGTGAGGAAGACTGTCCACCACTCCTCTGCTGGCCACTTCTCCTGAGCATCAGCTACAGACATCTGATTCCTCACAGGGCTTCCACCGTCCCGAAATACTTGCCAACCCTCCTTGAAGGTGGCAAGGTGAAGGTGACACCACAAACCTAAATGCCCCAGAGAAACTCGATTACAACAAAACCCCGAACCCCCCTGCGAGTCTGAAAACGTTGAGAAACTTCCACAACGCGCTCAGAAGGGGCTTGCTTTCTCCCCTTTCCCCCGGCCCTCACGCTGGCCGAGCCCGGCGGCTTGTCCAGGCCGTGGGTGAGACAGGCTGAGCGTGCCCCCAGCCAGCGAGGACCCCCCTGCAAGCTGCCCCGGGGCACAAACCCGCTCCCTTCCCCGGGACTCGGGCAGAGACTTTGAAAGACGACGCGGCCGCACCGGCAAGCGGTCGCCGTTCATTTATTGTGGGTGTCCGACCAGGAGGAAAGCCGCGGGTCGGACATCTCGGTTCGCGCCCCGTTAAGGACCCCCAGCATCCCTGCAGCGGGACGGGGC